AAGCATTTGACAAAATTCAACATCCATTCATAATAAAAACTCTCAACAAAGTGGGGTTAGAAGGACATACCTCAACATAATAAAGGCCATATATGACAAACCCATAGCTAATGTCATACTCAATGGTGAAAAACTGAGAGCTTTTTCTTTAAGATCAGAAACAAGACAAAGATGCCCACTCTTGCCATTTTTAGTCAACACATGGTACTGGGATGTTTTAGCTGTAGCAAACAGACAAGAAAAAAGAAATAAAAGACATACAAATTGGTAAGGAAGAAGTAAAAGTGTCACTATTTGCAGATGACATGACATTATAAATACAAAACCCTAAAGACTCCATCAAAACTCTAGAATAAATGAGTTCAGTAACGTTGCAGGATACAAAATTAATATTTGGAAATCTGCTGCATTTCTATACATTAACGATGAAGTAGCAGGAAGAAATTAAGAAAACAATCCCCCAGACAATTGTACCACAAAGAATAAAACACCTAGGGATAAACTTAACCAAGGAGGTGAAAGATTTAGAGTCTAAAAAGTAGAACACTGATGAAAGAAATTGAAGACAACAGAACAAATGGCAAAAGAGTCCACACTCACAGATTAGAAGAATTAATATGGTTAAAATGTCCAGACAGATAATACTAAAATTGGTGTGAAACTACTGAAGGCCCAGAACAGCCAAAGCAGTCTTGAGAAAGAACAACAAAGCTGGAGGTATCACAATGCCAGATTTCAAGATCTACTACAAAACTGGAGTAATCAAACACTATGGTCCTGGCACAAAAACAGACACATCCATCAGTGGAAGAGAATAGAGGGCCCAGAAATAAACCCACACTTCTATGGTCAATTTATCTACAACAAAGAAGTCAAGAATACATAATGGGGAAAAGATGGTCTCCTCAATAAATGGTATTGGGATAAGTGGACAGCTGCATGCTAAAGAATGAAACTGGGTCACTTTCTGACGCCAGACACAAAAATAAACTGCAAAAAGATGAAAGACATAAAATATGAGACCTGAAACCATAAAACTCCTAAGAGAAAACACAGCCAGTAATTTCTCAAACATTGCCCTTAGTAACATACTTATGGATATGTCTCTTTAGGAAAAAGAAACAACAGCAAAAATATACTATTGGGACTACACGAAACTAAAAAGCTTTTGCACAGTAAAGGAAACCATCAACAAAACAAAACGACAACCTAGTGGATAGAAGATATTTGCAAATGAAATATCTGATAAGGGGTTAATATCCAAAATGTATCAGAACTTACACAGCCTGGCACACACACAAAACAATCTGATGAAAAATGAGCAGAGAACCTGGATAGATATTTTTCCAAAGACACAGATATGACCAACAGACACACAAAAAGATGCTCAACATCACTAATTATCATGGAAACGCAAATCAAAACTACAATGAGCTATCACTGCACGCCATCGGATTGGCTAAAATAAAAGAGACAAGATACAAGTGTTGTCGAGGATGTGGAGAAAAAGGAAGCCTCGTGCACTGGTGGTGGGAATGCAAACTGGAGCAGTCTGCACTCTGGAAAACAGGATGGAGGTTCCTCAGAAAATTAAAAACAGAAATACCGAAGGATCCAGAAATTTCATTACTGGATATTTACCCACAAAACCAAGAACACGGATTCAAAAAGACAGATGCAGGGGCGCCAGGGTGGCCTAGCTGGTTGAGCATCTGACTCTTAATTTTGGCTCGGGTCATGATGTTGGGGTCCTGGGATCAAGCCCTGTATTGGGCTCCATGTTCAACGGGAAGTCTGCTTGAGTTTCTCTCTTTCTTCTGACTGTCCCCAGACTAGTGTGCTCTCTCTCTAGTACATAAATAAATCTTTTTTAAAAAGATACATGCACCCCTATGTTTATTGCAGCATTATTTACAATAGCCAAGATGTAGAAGCAACTTATGTGTCCACTGATAGACGGATGGATAAAGAAGATATGCTGTATATACATAGTCGCACACACACCTGTGCACGTATGCACACACACACACACACAGTGGAGTACTACTCAACCATAAAAAGGAATGAGATCCACAAAACAAACTGAGGGTTAATGGGGGGAGGGGGGTGGGGGGGGGGGGATTATGGACATTGGGGAGGGTATGTGCTATGGTGAGTGCTGTGAAGTGTGTAAACCTGGCGATTCACAGACCTGTACCCCTGGGGATAAAAATATATGTTTATGAAAAATAAAATTAAAAAAATAAATAAATAAATAAATAAAATAAAATAAAATAAAAAAAAAGGAATGAGATCTTGCCATCTGTAACAACATGGACGAATCCAGAAGGGATTATGCTAAGTGAGAAAAGTGAAACAGAAATGCAAATACCATACGATTTCATTCATAAACACAGAGAACAAACTGGTGATTGCCAGAGAGGAAAGGAAAGGAAGCAACATCAGAGAAGGAGAGTAGGAGGTACAGGCTTACCCTTATGGAATGAACAGTCACAGGGATGAAAGGCACAGCACGGGAAACAGAGTCAAGGGTCCTGTAATAGCGCTGTGTGGTGCAGGTGGTAGCCACACCTGTGTGAGCCGAGCTAACACAGACTTGTCGAGTCACCATGTTGTACACCGGAACTAAGGTAAAGTTGTGTATCAACTATACTTCAATTAAAAAAAATCCTTAATATGTGCTTTAATAATAAACAAATAGAATAAACAATGGGAAGAAATGGGAAGAAACAAAGAGATAGGAGCTCAGTTCGGAATTAGGAACCTATATACTTGGGAATGATTCTACCATTTAATTGGGCTAGAAATTGGGCTAAGTCTCTAACTGAATTTCTGTTAGCTTACTAAAAAAATCCCTCACTAATTAGAGAAGCCTTCCCTAGGACTGTACACCAGAGAAACGATGATGCCCACACATGGAAAGAAACACATATGCCCACACATAGAAGTAAAAGTCCCTTTTCAATGTTGTGACTAATCCTAAACAGGAAGGTTGGTTAAAGGAAGGATATTCAAAGACTGTGAATTTATTAAAGCCTCCTGACCCCAGGTCAGTAATAGCATTAGGCTATCTCTCTTCTGGCAGAAAAGAACATCTGTAAAATGCCTAGAGGTGACTAGAATTACGCATGAACATTTAAACGGTTAAGTGGAAGCCAGTGCTGGGAAAGAGACAACTCTAGATTATCTGGGCTACTGCTGAGAGCCTCTAACACAGATGATCGTCACCAACTCTGGAGGAAGTCTGAACTCCTGGAGGGAAGAGAGATTTACATTCACAGCCCCTGACCCTTGCACATAAATACCAGGTCTACCAGGAGTGTGCTCCTAGGGGTAGTTTGCTCTTGTGGGGAGAAGCATTTTATCACTGACATTCTTTAGAGTTGTGTGGTGACAGTAAAGAACAGTCACTTTTAGTCTTATATTCTCGATAGTGTACCCCTATGTCTGTGCCTTAAGGCATCACCCCCCCCACCCCCAGCCCTTGGTACACAACTATCATATTTGGACAGTGATTAATTCCCTGGGATCTCTTGAGACGTAAGAGCCCTCAACTGTCACCTGCCGATGGATCCACTGGGGTCGGGCAGCACAGCCAAGTCACCAAGCCACCATTGCCCCTGAATGCCACAACCCAGTGTATCTCTATCACATGAGCACTGAGCATGGCCCAGAAAGAGGAAGGGAGGGGAAAGGAATTTCCTGGGGACTAAGTAGGTTAGGAACCAATGAAAGCATCTAGAAACCAGGGGCTAGTTTATTTTAATGGTTTCCTTCAATCCTGCCTTGTTGAACAACATTTGATTTCTCGATCACACTTTGGCAAGCATTATATTCATGACGCATGCTGGAGGAGAGATGGAACTGGATACCCTTTAATAAATCTTATATCCTGATTCGTTGTGACCTTGCCACCTGAGTGTGGGTCTTCTGAGGCAACACAGAGGAACCACATCATAGAATTAGGGAGAAGAGATCGCCAAATGCATTGCCAAAAATGGATCTCTCAGAATGAGTACCTTTCCCTGACCAGTGGGCAAAAGTAAGGCAAATGGCTGCTTCGTTCCTCTGTTCTGCTGTGTGTCTCCTTTGCCCTCTGCAGCACACAATTCTCTGAGTAACACACACCCTTACAATGAATTACGGAATGTCTGGGTTAATTTCTTCTGCGATCGGGAGAGGGCTAGAACTGGATACCCATTAGTCCAAACAAGCCCTCAGGCCTGGATCTTCTTCAGATGGGCTGCACAGAGAGAGCACTGGGAAGCACGGATTTCTTAGACGGCTGCAGATGTGTCCACAGCTGGGTGGGAGCTGGGGTGGTTGTGAAACAGATCAGCTGTCCCCGAGCCAAGTACTACGTAGGGCTCCATTGTGGATAACACAGGTGCTGTGAAAATCTTCAGTCTCCTGCCCCAAACTACATTTGTACTTTCCCTTACTTTGTGTTACAAACAAGCTTCGTACATTAGCAGGAAGATGGAGGCAGGCCATGTGCTTCTGTTAACATCGTAATTTCCACATTTTACTTATCTAGAAAGTATTCCTTTCCCTTAGCTCTTAGGCTCACATGGGGCAGAATACCAACATTCATTTTTCTTTACTGTAACCAGCACAGCTTGCACAGGCCAAGCTCAATGTCTCGTGTGCACTAAAAATTAATTTTAGAACAAATTCAGAGGAACAGATAATTGAGGAAACCATCTCTAGATGAGGCTAGCTGGGGGAAGCTGGTTAGATGGAGCATATATTCTGAAATGTCAATCAATAGCTGTCACATTTTATCTTGTACTTAGATCAAAACATTTATTCTTTGAGCCTTCAATCATTACCCCTCAAATGATAATACTGAGAACTGGAATATGTACAGATACTCCAACTATAGGATCACATGAGAAAGGATGATGTTGATATATAAATGCAAAAACCTTCCAGGCCAAAATAGATTCCATCACTTGTTTCTGCAGAGTAAACCAAATGATAGAAAAGGGAGTTCCTACCTGGAGTCTTGAAGTTCCTCAGCTGGGAGGGGGTATCATAAACTTCAAGGATCCAGTCACCGGTGGCTCGCTCTCCCCAGCAATGAATGGTCATGAACTCCCAGTTTTTAAATCCTTCCATAGAATGATCAAAAAGCCTGTGAGATAACCAGAAAGCATTGTTTTCTACATTATTTAGAATCCAGTGAAGGTCAAGGCAAGACCATGATCAGTGATCTTTTTGTACCCATCAGCAGGTTCAGCTCAATCCTGGAGGCCATTTTCCTCTTGGACATTGACAATGAGTAGACCCAAATGCGTGTCATCATTCTACCACAGCCAAATAGGCACAGTGGTGGCCTTGTAATAGCAACTCTGGAAGGGGTAAACATTTGGGTATCGGGAAAACCAGGCTATGACTCTACCCATAAGAGTGATAATACCAAGTATTAAAGATGTGGGACAACTAAAACTCTCTTACACTGCTGATGGGAATGCTAAACAGAACAGCTGCTCTGAAAACAGTTTGGTAGTTCTTACCATGTGACTCAACAATCCCCCTCCCAGACATTTACCCAAGAAGTGAAAACATATGTTCATACGAAGAACTCCACATGAATGTTCACAGCAGCTTTATTTGTAATTCTTGAAAACTGTTAACAACTCAGAAGTCTCTCAACTAGTGAATGGGTAATCAAGTTCTCGTATATTCCTATGACAAAACAGTACCCGTGAATAAAAACTGTTGAACTACTAATAAATGCAACAACATGAATTAATTTCAAAAGCATTGAAGCTAAATGAAAGAAGTCAGACATAAAAGACTACGTGCTATAGGATTCAATTTCTAGGACATTCTAGAAAAGGCAACATAAACAGAAACAGATCAGTGGGTGCCAGGGGGTGGGAGGGAAGAAGGGGCATGGTAGAAGTTCCAGGGCTGACGGAATTGTTTTATATCTTGAAAATAATGGTGTATAGATATAGAGCATTATTCGTCACTAAATTACTCACATTAAAAAGTGAACTGTATTGTTCATAAATTACGACTCAGTAAAAAGACCCTGTCCACTCATCTTAACCAGTTGAGGGAGTCATGCCTTTAAGTTCAGCCTACATTCTGCTCTTCTAGCTCTTCTAATGATTTTCTAAGCTCCAAATTCCCTATATTAGCTATATGAAATAGCTAGCATTATTTCCTGTGATGTAATCCTGAGGGATACAAAACAAGAAGGAAAAGAAGAAAACAGAATCCTCATTAAGAATAAAGAAACGTCAATAGATAATGTATAAAACAAGCACGTGAAGAAAGAGGCATGTCACTTATCTAGGCACATTATATATAATTGATGACCCAAAGAAATATTAAGATTTCTATAGGGGGTGCCTGGCTGGGTCAGTCACTGGAACATGTAACTCTTGATCTTGGGGTCATGAGTTCAAGCCCCATGTTGAGTGTACAACCTACTCTTAGAAAAAGATTTCTACAGAGATGGGACAATAGAAGGTTAAAAAGTTAAAGATAGGGCAAGAGACAGTTTTTTAAAATTTCTAAATAAAACTTAAAAAATTATGTGTGTCTAGAGAAAGAACTTGAGAGCTAGAGAGGCAAACAGGGAAGCAAAAACATCTTTAGTATGGTCTTAGAAGCAACCATGTCCTGTTTCTGGGACATATCTGTCCTTCCATGGAGACAAAGTTCATGGCAACTGGATGTTGATGGCTATTCAGAACATGCAATCAACTCTCCTCACTTTAATTTCATGCTCACCAAGGGAATTGGTGGGTATAATCTGCATGCTATGTATATCTTCCCATTGGGAGAAAAAGTGCCCTTCTGAAACCAAAAAATAACCAGTTTAATCTCCTTATAATTTAATATACCAGAATTCTAATTCTTTACATACAAAAGCTTTCTTCCGATATGTTTGAGGATCCCTCTAAAATGACAGCTGGATCCTGAAACTGAAGGGATGGTTGGCATAACGGGGGAGTATCATGTAAATGGCGGACACTTGGCAGTTTTCTCTAGAGAAACACGATAAATGGGAAAAAATCACCTCTATGTGTTCCTCAGACCTTAGAAGAAGAAAAAAGGCAAGTACTTATCAGCATTCTCAAAGTGTCCCATGGTCAGAAAACTGGGCAAAATCTGAGAAAGGCTGAGGCAGAGTCCAACAGATCTCTTTACTGGAGAATATCCCAGATGTCTGGGATGTTCAGATATGTTTTGTTAATTTCCATAATGGGGTTAACAGTAGGAAGTGATTTTCAAAGCTTCTAAGAGTGAGAGTCCCCTTTTTCTCTTTTTAGAATATCTGTAGACTATGTGTAAGGGTTAGTTCTGAAGAGAGGAGTGGCATTTCAATGAGAGCCATATTGAATGTGGTGGCTTACCCTCATGGTAACAGCGATAGAAATAGTGGCTCCTTACATGAATATCTTCCTAGTATGAAAGATCTATAAAAGAACTTCACTAGATTAGGGATGGTACATTTTATGGAGATCCTATAATGTATGCACTACCACAACAAGGCCTGCTTCATAAGCGGATGGCTTAAAACTAGACTTGGCCAGGAAGAAATTGCTGGCCCATTATATAACTGACTTACATACAGAGAGCCCTTCACATAAACCTAAAGTGGGGGGGTAGGCTGGATGAAAAGGAGAAACAGCGGTGGGGAAGGAGGAGGCTTTTCAAATCGCCTTTCCTCTCAGACATATGTTACAAAAGGGAGTGTGCTGATGTGGAAATGCGTGGAAGCAGAAACCAATCTAGAACCACTTCTCAGCCCACAGAGTTTAGGCTTGAGATTGCTGAAGCCATTGTGCCGTTTGAGGGCACCGGAGCAACAACTTGTCACATAATACCTTTCCAAGAGTGCCAAACTTAAGAGCAATTCCCAAACAGTTTAGACAGAGCATTTGGCGCACTGCCTCACGTCCAAAACTACAAAGGAGACTTGAGGCTGCCATCACATGAAGGGCAGTCTTGTTTCCACAACCCCAGCCAACTTCTAATTACTCACGGGTCAATTATTTGACTGCTGGATTAGCAGACCCTGTGTTTCTCCCCTTCCACCCTTTCCTGTCCACCTTTGAAAATCATTCCATTGCTGCCAATCACTTTTAAATCACATTTGGAACCCAAATTAAATATAAACTGGGTGCCAAGAAGAAATACCCATAATCGGCATTCAAATAAGTGTTTCAAAGCCCGAATATAAATGGGCTTTGTCTATCGGGCTAAGCGGTTTCCCACCCCAGTCTCTTTGCTTTATGCAGAGCTGAATGCTCATTAATTTCATGTGGACATAAAAGTTGAGGAGAGGAATTAAAAATGCAGCCAAACACGATCATTGCATTTTGCTGAAAGAGTTGATGGGGAAAGAAACAGACACTGATGACTGCTGTTGCATCGACTAGCCTGACCATTCACGTTTCTAGTCTCACCCCGTTCTTTATTTTCTTCTGATTCAGCACTTAAACTCGTCCCAAGTTTTTGGCATCGTGGCAATGAACAACCCGGCTTCATCTGTGTGTCATAAAAGGTAACGCTGGTAGTAGATTCGATTTGTGTTGCAAACAACACACTTGCTCAAGACAAGCAAGCGTCCAACCACACTGGACACCAAGCTAAAGAGATTCTAACTGTGTGGTCTCCACTTATCGGCTAAAAAGTCCAATGCCCAGTCTGAATGTCCGTGCCGGGCCAACAGTGAAGAAACCCAACACATGCCAACGTTATCAGCATGGATGAAATGTCCACAAAGCAGGGCCAGTGTGCAGAAGCCTGGACTAATTACCCCCGTGGCCTATCCACATCGCCTGCCGCAGTGAAACCCTGTCTGTCGAAGTTGACTTCATAATCGCGTGCTCTACGAAATGATATATACCTGTGGTAGCACAAGTTACGCATCCAGTTATTAAAATGGTGCCCCACAGCCCGATCCCTGTGAGTGGTTTTCAAATAAATTACTTTGGATGAAGGCTGGTAGAAAAGACTGCCATTAAGGGTAGTACATCCTTTTGAGGAATTAACTCAGGAAATAACTCATATAATTAGTGTAAGCTTTCTTCCCCCTTTCGCTTAAAGAGTCTAGCCAATATGTCAAGGCTACAACATTCTTCAGTGCTGTTGTGGCAACTAAATAACAAGACATTTTATAAGTACTGACAGCTATGTGCTACCATATAATTATTGCTCAAGTTATAAATGGATCTTAATTTCAGAATCATCTACTACTCCCCAAACAGTATTTATGTTCATACAGAATTAGACTTTAGACAGATATTTTTAGAAGTTTCCTTTTTTTCTTTCTCTGTCCCTGAAATTACTTAATTATTATTTTCTTTTTAGTGCTTTATCGCAACTTCACGTAGGACTTAACAGAGCGCTCGAAGCACTCATTTGGCTTAATTGTCATGTGGTTTTTTATTTTCTTTAGCTGTTTGGCTTTTGCAAGTTTTAAATGATTTGCTTCTGAAATAGGGTGTTTAAAACACACTATTAAGTTTTTCTGTCTCTCCTCATTGAAATTACTTCTTTAAGAAAGGCTGAGAGAGAGAAGGACTAGTTCTAGAGACCTGAAGTACTAAAAAGATGAGTTTTTAAGAAAAAAGACTTTCAACCTGCATACTATTACTTACTACTGACCGGGCCCAACATGCATTCCTTGTTGTGGATCTATGATGTATGCTTGTAATCTTGCAGATTTATTCCATTTAAGAGTGGATAGCTTTTATCTAAGTATCTGTTTCTGATTACAGACGCCTTTGTAAATTACTCACGCAGCACCCAGCAGCGTTCTGCCTGCAAGTCTTTTGAGGACACGAACATAACAAGAATGTTGTATGAAAAGCTGGGTGATCTTTTAAACCAGTACTATTGAAAATGTGGTCTGTGGACAGGCAATTTCCACATCACCTGGAAGATTCTTAGAAATGCAGATTCATGGACCTCACCCAGACGTACAGGATCAGACTCTGGGAGAGGGGCCCAGCCATCTATGTCTGATGGAGTCCTCCATCAGGTGCTTTGGGCAGCACTGTGTAAATCAGGGTTAGCACTTAGTAAGTGTTTACTGTGTGTTCCAGGAGTGGTGCTAAGGACTTGCTGTGAGTGATCTTACTCAATACTTGTGACAACCGTGTGAGGTGGACCCTAACCTTGGCATCTGTTTTCTAGTGGAGAGACTCACTTTTCAAAGTCAAACATAGAAACTGGTGAAATCCAGACAAGCCCAGCTCTAACTCCAAAGGCTGTACCTTCTTTTGGAGCAAGGAAGAGGATTCTTATGGGGAGGCCTTACTGGAATGCAAAATTTCCACGCCGAAGTGTAATTTTTACTGCAAGCCACAAATGCACTTACATGGTGTGATCCTTTACGAATGTCAATAGTCTGTCATTGAACATTTGGGCAGCAACAGAAATGACTCAAATATAAACACCACATTTAAACATAGTTAATTATAGAAGCTTATAGGCTTTGCAGACTCGAAAGTGTACCTTCTCTCTACTTAAGACCATAATTAGAAGCAGAAATATTCGTCTGTAATCAAATTTAGAAAGAAAGGCAAAGTTTCAGCTTTCAGTCAGAAGCCAAAATTTGGAACAAAGGGCCAATACAGCTACACTAAATCTCGAACTCACTGACTTGGGGGGAAGGGGAGACTTAGGGGGAGAAAGACCGCTTTTCATAATTCTAACAAATGCAGCTGAAGGAAGAATCTCATGAAGCTGGCTTTTGTTGCAAAACTTTTGCAAGGCAGAATTTGAATATGTGGTGGTATTAAAAAAAAAAAAAAGCGAATCTAAAGTTATGCTTGTCTAAAAACATGTTAAAGGAGCCCAAGCCCACCTAGATTCCCCTCCGCCAATTCAAGACCTCCAGATTCTCCCCTGAAATAAATCATTTGTGCTGATTATTCAGGGCGACTTTTTGCGAGGCAGGGTGCACAGGCCAAGAGGAGGACTGGGAGGGTGGAGGGCAGGAGAAAACAAAGGGATTAGAAGAAACTAACCATCTGCCCATTCCAGGCCTGCTCTGTGTACTCGGCGCTCCCACCCCCTAAATTATCAACCTGGCTTGCCAGGGGTGCTCACATGCTGGGCTAATGGGGCGCGCTCACGTTGGACTAGTTCTGAACGCTGCTGTGTGCCTTCCAGGGTCCAGCACCTGCAGGTGCTTGGGTAAGCGTTCTTCCTCCAACAGCTGTTCTCCACAGGAGTTCTAGCAAGTGCCTGTCAGCCGGGACGGGGGAGGCATTGAGGGGTTCCAGACGGCCCACATGGGCAAGTGCTCAGCAACCTCGCCGAAAATCGATTCCAAAGGAATTGCTGTGTGGTGGGGATAAACAGCACTGAAACATGCGGAGATGGCTCTGGGCCACCTCAGCTCTGCCTCTTCATCTCAAGTGACCCCTCACTCCGGAAACTTCCTCTTGTGACCATTGAGAGGTCACTTTCAGATACATGCCATTCTTTGCTTTAACGTGGTCCTCCTTAGAAATCTTGACTTCTTTGAAAGAAAGATAAGTGTCCAACCGGGGTACCATTTATTGCTCTCATTAATAACCTCTGACACACAATTTCCTTCCAAAACTTGACCTAGCCCCCTTTCCTTATAGAAGTATTGCTGCCTTGCAGGCCTTGAAGGCCACCAGGAGGGGAGCAGGCCTTCCCTTCCGCCTGTCTCCACCCCTCTCCTATGCTGCTTGTCCTCAGCTCCCAATCCAGGGAATGGGCCTTGAAACAGAGCCAAGGTGAGGGGATACAAGGACCCCACGGCCCTAGGTCAGAGACTAGAAGGTTCTGAAGAGACACTTCCTCTCATAAAAGGAAAGCTTCAGAACATGCCAGGAAGGAAAGAAAATGCCACAAAGACCTTTCTCTCCTTAGCCACTTCAGTTGAAGAAATGCTCCGGGCATCAAGCACAGCAAGGGCAGGGGAGTCTGTCCTCAGAGACCAGACGTGCTTCTGGGACTGGGTGCCACTGTTTTACGCTTCAGAGATCAGCTGCTCAGAGTGATGTGATCAGGGAACCGCGGACAAATGAACTCATAACATCCTTTACATCTCTGGGGTGTCTCCAGGCCTTCTGCCCTCCCCCCCACCCCCCCCCGGGTCCATCCACCTCCTTCCTTTCAGCAACGAGATGGCACACACACAGAAGACCAGCCCTTGGAGAAAACATTCCAGACAGAGAAGACCCACGTCGAGTAGCAACTGTATTCCCAGGTAGTCTTGATGGGGGAAACTGAGGTCAACATCCCCACCGCTGGTCACCGAGTATCTGAAACACCTGTTTTTGTTTTGTTTTGTTTTTTTTCCCTCCAGCACAAGCCAAGCAGCAGTGTTGGGTTCCGCACTCTGCAAAAGGCAAAGCACAGCTCCGGGGCTGCGCAGGCGTGCAGGACTGAAGCTCGCGCATGCGTGCTGGACAGAAGCCTGCGCCTGCGCAGGATAATCCACCAAAGCCGGTGATGGGGTCCACAGCTCCTTGGCTTATCAGCCTCCACACTGAAGTCATCCCGGGCTGAGGCCAACTAGAAATAACGCCAGAGGCAGGAAAAGCCCAGAAAGTCTGAGGACCTTGAGTTTTCCAAGCCCACAGCGACCATGAAGGGGCTGTTTTCTCTTCAACAGAGGAGGCTGGAGGGGTCTCAGCCGCGCATGCGTGAAGCAAACCTTTGCGCCCCCGCGTTTCACCTGCATACGCATTCAAGTTTAACGCAGACAAATAAAGGCAAAGAGAAAGAACAACAGGAAAAAAGGTCTTCCCTCGCTTCAGTAGCAGCAGCTGGTGTGACCTCCTAATCACGGAACCATGCACGGGAAGGCCTCGCCCACTGGAAAGAAGCATCTGGCAGCAGCTGCGACCCCGCTTTGCGGCGGGAGGAGCGCACGGGTGGCACGTCCAGGGATCTGAGGCCAGAGCAGCCTGCCCTTCTTTGCACCTGCATCCCCTCATTCTGGCAAAGCTGCGCTGCATCAAGCCCTAAGCCCACGTTTTCCCGTGCACTGATGGAGGATGTGAAGTTTTAAAGAACACAAGTCTGCCAGGCACAGTTGCAAAATGTAATTGAAGATTTCGGATTCTGTACTCCCAGATACTATCATCCAGAACTGCTACTGCTCTCGTTCTCACAGTCCTAGAGCAGGTGAATTTGGGGATTTTGCAAAGCAACTGGCACTTGCTCAATCTCGCTTTAGGTTCTGTAGGACTGCATTGGCCCCAGGCCTCTCAACCCCGCTGGCCTATGGTCAGCCCTAACAAAGACCACCACTGCCACGGTCACCTGGCTATGTGGGCAGGTGGCTATGTCCGCATGAAAGACTGGCTCTCATATATATGCCATTCATGATAAGACTTCTGCTCCCATTAAATGTTCGTCTGGGAGGAAAAAAGATCAAATTAAAGAAATTTAGGCTTCCAGCTGTGGTTTACATTTTAGAACCACAGAGGGAACAAAGTGTATAAGACAACCTGACTTGTCCCCATTCGGGTCCCACTTTTTGATAAGCACCTGCTACCCACGCTCCCAACCATTCAAAAATCTATGCAGCAAAAGAAAACTGGTTGCTAGAACATTCTGGAATTTCGGCAGGATCGTGGCAGTGCAATTACCTCCTGGATCAGTGTTTGGAAGGAGCAGGGAAAAGGGAAAAGGCAAGAGGCTAAGACAAGAAACTGAGTACCCACTTGGGCAATAAAGACTAAAGGGCTAAACTTTACAGTCAGTCTTCAAGCCAAACCCAGCCTGTTGCCTGTTTATTTATTCTGTAAATAAAGCTTTATTGGAAAACAGCCATGCCCATGCATTCACACGGCCTAGGTGCTTTTTCGCTCTGAGGCAGAGTTGAACAGTTGCCACAGAAACATGGCCTGCAAAGCTCAAAACATTTACTAACTGACTCCTTGCAGAAAAAAAATTTGCCCAGACCTGTTTTAAAACCCATAGAATGGGGCGCCTGGGTGGCTCAGTGGGTTAAAGCCTCCACCTTCAGCTCAGGTCATGATCCCAGGGTCCCGGGATCGAGCCCTGTGTTGGGCTCTCTGCTTGATGGGGAGCCTGCTTCCCCTTCTCTCTCTCTGCCTACTTGTGATCTCTGTCAAATAAATAAATAAAATCTTAAGGGGAAAAAAAAAACCCCAAAACAAAAATTAAATCTTACAAATAAATAAAATAAATCACATAGAATTTCCTTTAACCTTGGACAAGGACTGGGCCAGAGAATTCAGTTAATCTGTAACAAACCCTGGCAGACGTTTAAGGGCAGGGGAGACAATCTCAAAGGCCTAAGGAGGTAGTACTCTGTAATTCTTTGTTAGGGTAAACAACAGGTGGCCTTCTTTCTGCGGCGTTACTGCAATATTATCCAAGTATTAAATGTTACACTATCCCATTCCTACAGATTCTAGGCAGTTTTTCATCCCTCATTTAAAAAAAAAGATTCTATTTATTTATTTTGGGGGGGGGAGGGGTGAAGGGAGAGGGGCAGAGAGAGAATCTCCAGCAGACTCCCTGCTGAGTGCAGAGCCCAACATGTGACTTGATCTCAGGACCCTGAGATCATGACCTGGGTGGAAATCAAGAGTTGGACACCACCACAACCCAGGCACCCCTATACCCCTTCATTTATGTATGGGCAGTGAGAGCTCTGTGCCATCTTGACATCTAAGTGCCCCCTAAGCTGGTTCTTAGGGTTGAGTCAAGAGCAGGTGACGCTCTCTACCTTCCAAAACAGCAGAGTGTTGGTGTCGCCTGTATGCACCGGTGGCCAGAGGCCATCAGAGTACCTGTTGGCCAGAAGCTGAGACCTGGTTCCTGAGGGCGAGGTCAGGTAGATGGCCAGGTCTCCCCTCCTGGGATGGGTGATGGTTATGCGCACAACGACGTGCTCCAGGTAGTTGACGTGGTGGTTTGGGTTATCGGAACAGCCCGAAGCTTTGTAGATGGAGCGCACCGCACTGTTGGGGCGAATGGTCCTGCAACAGAGAGAGACCGAGTGTGAGCAGAGCACTGGAGGGGCTGGGCTGCGTAGAACTGTGGGCCCGGAATGATGACGCCATGTCACACAAGCCGCTGGTGGCTGATTTCTAAAATACACAGTGCCATCACCCAAGGTCCCTTCAAGGATTAACCCTGGTTATCAGAGAGTGGGAAAGATGCAAGTGAGAGAAAAGGGGGAAGTGGGGTTCTTTTATCTTCATGCAGGGAGGGCTATCAAACTTGAGGGTATCCCCTTGTTGAAACGCAAAGAGCTGAGCCTCTGCCTGCAATGTCTGATTGAGTGGGCTGAGGGGGCTCCAAGAATGTGCATTTCTCACAAGTTCCCAGGTGACAGTGATGTTGCCAATCTGCGGAATATACTTTTTGGACTACTGCTAGAGGGTATGGCAGTATGGGGAAGGCTCGGGGGTTACCATGACCTTGGTTCAAATCCCTGGTCTACCACTTCCTTGCTCTATAACCCACGATTCCTCTGGCCTGAATGTGCCTGGCTTCTTCACTAGCTTTCTCCTGTGCCACTGTTTCCCCTGAACACGGGGCTCTGGTCACACTGACAACAGTTCAAGTTGGGGGTGATTCGTTTCCCACCTCAGAGATTGTGCCTGAAGTTAGTTTGTTTTTGGCTGTTGTTCCTATGGCTGACCCTTCTTCCTTCACGCCCCCTACTTCTTCTTGTCTATCCATGTTACTTCCAACCTATTGTTATTTTTATATACTATACTGAAAATATAATTCATCATTGCACGTTACAGAGTTCAGGTTCCAGAATATCAAGTTTAGGTTTTGGAGTACGCTGACTTAGGGAGAACATTTGCACCATGAAATAGAAATACTGGCTGAGTAGAAACCTTAAGAATGCCCATTTGTAAGGGTCCTCCAAATCCCCTGTTGCGAGATGCTTTTAAGGATCCTTGGGTCCTATTATGTGGATTTAACAGCTTAGCACCCTAGACATTCTATGAGAATTTTATAATCACGCTAGGAAAAAAAAAAAACCACACAACACAAGATTTCGGCTTCCATGGACAACCAAGGCTGTCCAGAGCACTTGTGCCAGCCTGGTCTCTTTCAGGAAATCGCTGTGCTGACTGCGGCCACGAGTATTACTTGATTTGCCGGTCTGTGCTCTCCACACACACGTGCTGCTGGGGAACGGTGGTCCACTTCTCGGCTTCCGTCACCATGGCTTCCGCATCCATCAGTCCAAACCCATACAGGTGGCTCACTAGGGGAGGCAAGAGGCTGGTTAGCTTCACGGAAGTTGGAATCAACCTAGGCTGTCTATATTGAGTTCTGGCCAAGAGCCCAGACACATCCCCATGGGATCCTAGCATTCTTTCCAGCCATGATTTAAAAAAAGAAACAAAACACAAATATAACAACACCTGTGAACAAACCTAACAAGGTCATAAAATGGATGTCTATTATTCATCAACGATGTATTAGGACTCGCAACAGGACTATCGTGTATCGATTATTACCATGTGGCAGGCACTAGACCATCTTTTTCCATGTAACCCTCTCCATGATGTTAAGATGCTGGTGCCATTGTGATCGTCATTCATGGGACAAGAATGCTGAGGAACAGAGAGAGAGCTAAGACTGAGTAGTTGTGGTTGAGCTGGATTCTAACCCACTGACTTTTGCTCCAAGGCCTTACCCGGTAACCACTTTAAGCAATGACCTCATCAATTTTGTAACATAATGAATAGGTTTAAAGAAAAAGGACAGTGTCTACACCTTCTCTTGGCACAATAAGAATGCACATGCAAGAAATGCCAGCTTTCTGACATATCCAGGAGTAAGGCCGGACATCTCAGAAGACAACAATTATTACCTTTCCTCCAGCATAGGAAAAATTGATCAAACTTTATGCATGCAATATTTGGAGGCCTCTAGATGTGTCTTCCAATGTTGTAATCTTTTGGTTCTCAGTAAGAATACCTATTGATCTAAACCTGCATTTGACATAATGGTCTCAGAAATTTCAGTCACATATACAAATATTTTTTAAATTAATTTATTGTTACCCCCACCCCATCCCTCCAGTGACCCTGTGTTTCCTGCATATAGGAATATTTTAATGATGATACAGCAATATCCACATGTGTAGTTCTTTCTAAAAAATACTCTAAAATCCCAGCAAATACTTATCAAACCATCTCATATCTTTATATTTAACACAAAGTCATATTGCTACCAGATTTGTTGCCTATAAGGCATTTTCTGTATAATATTATTTTACATGAAAATATCTGTCGCTGCCCACGCTTATGGATGATTTCAGTACTTCAACTTGAAATTCAAGACACTCTATGATAGAGTCCCATTCTACTTGCAAAACAACCTCTTCACCAAAATCTATGCTTTAGAAAGGTCATTCCTTTACAGTTCCCCGTCATACCTTGCTTTTTCTGCCTCACTGCTTTGGCTTATGCTGAGACCCTGGCCTGGAATTCCCTCCCTCCTGTTCTCTACAGGGTCACACTCTACTCCCAAGTTCTAGAAGGCTTGAAACATCCTCTGATCAATGAAAGTCAACAGACGTTTACTGAAACTCAGCCATCTGTCATGAAGGAACTTCTCTCTTTACTAGTCCCTATAACTCTAATAAATTTGTCTGTCTGTCTGAGCTTCTGCCCATCTAGCCACCCAGCCACCCACCCATGCATCCATCCAACATTTCTTGAGTGCCTTCTATGTCCCAGACACTGCCTTACACACTGCACTTTTTACTTATGTCTTATTAATCGAACGGCTAATTCCATGAGCAAATGTTTTTGTACCCCAGCTATACTGCAAACTGCTTGATGACAGGAACTAGGACTGATATTTCTTCATATGCTTCATGGGATTTAGCAGAAATTTATACATATGGGGAAAAAATGACTGCATATAAAAAAGGAAAACTGTGTTAGGATTAGGAAATACTGCTTTATCCTTGCTATTCGCTAATTACATAATTCTTGGCAAGAAAGAAAAAAGAGCTAACCCACAATCTCCTTGTGATATGATTGTCTATCCTGTCACCATTACTGAGTTGATTAAGTACGCTATTTGTCCCATGTGAGAAACTCTTCACCAAGACCTATACAAATGTAAGGGCTCATTATTATAATATCAGGTACTCAGCTGGACAGGACATACTGAAGGAAACTGAATAAACTGACTTAGGGATAGCAAGAATATATGTGGGATTCTCATACATGTACTTTCGTAACTGCTATTATAAATGACTACTTCTTGATTAAAAAGAAATGTATATATATTGTAAAAACCTGGAAATACAGCCAGAAAAGAATGAAGAAAGCAAAACTCATCAATAACTTCATGACAGATTGGTAACTGTATATTAGCAGGTCTGTATCAACAACTTAGTTTCAGTTACAGGACATGACATGAGGCGATCTCACCTCCTTAGCTAAAACAGAGTCAGAGTTATCCATGAGTTATAGGAGGAATGTCAAGTGTGGGCTTAAGGAAACCGAATCGTGGACATTTCTTATGCAAGTTCATGGACATCCCAGATTCTCACTTATCACTTAACCATCGATACAGGCAATGATCGATATCATTTTATCATGAACATTCAAGGCATTGTTTTCCCTAGAGGGACTGAAATTATCGCCAAACACGCATTGCCATGCCAGGCTCTCTGACTCTGCCCAGTACCCAAATGTCCCCATGATCATATCAGGCGGTTTTAAAGTAGCGCAACTTATCATTTGATCTCAGTTTAGGGAAAAAAGATGAAAGATTTGATTGGCATGAGTGGGGAGGGGAAGAGGTTGGGTAGGAACTGGGGAGGGTCGGGGGGGCAAAACGAGGGCTGCCTGGACTCTGGCTTAGGGGCTCTTGCTGCCTCCCCCCATCCCCGTCCCCATAACTGTCAGCCTAACAACCCTTAGGACATAAATTAACACCCAGAGTCATCAAATACAACAAATGCTTCAAGCCTGAGAAACAAACTTGAGTTAAGTAGAAAAGCATCTTGAGTCTTTATAAAGGCTCTAAATTTGTTTCCTTTTCTGAGTCTATTCCTACCCTCCAGAGACAATATCCATTCATGCATCTATCCCAAGTAGATGTTCAGAAAAGAGGCTGGCTAGTTCCTGTTCAACTACAAACTGGCAGGTGAATGGAAAAAACATCATATTAATAGAATATTAATAAATGAAGGAATTCCATTAGATCGGTAAAGCCTATTCAGTCATGGAGAGGTTTTGTATTTTAAAATACTGGAAATCGTGTATTTGTCCACAGTCATGATACCCAGCCTAAGAAAAAAAGAAAATAAATGTGTATCTTTTTAAGAGGGGTGGTGATGTTGGCAATATACCAACTCCACGTATTCTGATTGGCAATTACTTGTTTGGTTTTCAGTAAATACTAATGAGAAAATAATCGCACAAAGAACATGTTGGCAGATAAACTCTTTTAAAACATGATGTTAACCAGGGAAATAGCTATTAAGTAGTTCGGAAGCATTATTTTTTTTTTTAAAGATATGATTATAACTGACACAATTTTAAAAATATAATACAGAGTTTTCATACTTTAAAATGACCTATAAATTCAGAAACAGATTTTTTTTTTTAATTTTTAAAGATTTTATTGATTTACTTAAGAGAGAGCATGGAAAGGAGGGGCAGAGGGAGAGAGAGAACAGATTCCCAGCTGAGCAGGGAGCCCCACAGGGGGCTCGATCCCAGGACTCTGAGGTCATGACCTGAGCTGAAGGCAGACACCCAACTGACTGAGCTACCCAGGTGCCCCAAAACAGATCTTTTTTTGGTGACTATCTGGGTCAAGTTAGTTGGCCATCACACCGTTACTGGGAACATCCACCAGTGTCTGCAGAGCACCTGTGCTTAGAGGAGAGCTTCTATGCATACTTGTGAAGAAACTCAACTGATAGAGGAGAAATTTTATTTAATTTACCAAGCGGCATAAAGTGTTTACGTGAGAATTATAAGGGGAATCTAGAACTCTGTTCTTTTTATCACCAACTTCTGTAAAGTCATCATTAACACACCATATTTATTTAAGTATAGAACCAATATTCACATTTGAAAAAAAAAATCACGATCATAGCAAATATACCAGGAGAACAACTTGCAGTGCTATGGCCCTTCGTACCTAAATTAGTTTTATTTGTGCACGTTTCTCATGCCAAGCTCAGAGCAAAACCTGAGCCTGAAAATCACTTTATGATGATCAAGCAGAGCTGTCTCTGGGCAAGCTTTGTGTAAAATGCAAAACTCTATAAAGTTAGATACTATAACGGTGTGAGGAGGAATCCAAGCAGCTCAAACTGCATTTTTCATTTCTACGAGTGTGGGCAGCAAACATTCAATTAATAGTTGGAACATTACTTAAGATTCAAAAATCAATATTTAGAAAGCTATTAAGGGAACAAAGCATGTTTACAGAGTAATTAAAGATCTTGAGACAAAGTTATTGAGGTGGATTTCACAAAGCAGAATGATACCGGGCAAGCTGAAAAAAAGGGAATCTGCAATACTTGAAAAACATTCTATTTGCCTTATTAGGCTGCATGACTGTTTATGCAGATAAGTCGAGAAGAATGGAATTGTCTTGTGCCCCAGGTATAGCTAGTTTTTATTCCAAGGAATCTGAAGTTTTCCCTTGCTTGTGCCAGCTAGATGAACGAGAGAAGGCAAGAAAATAGATAACGTTCTCCAGCAGGTGTGTTTCCACTTTCTGATGAGACTAGAAGCGCTGAGGGAAGCTAATCGTTAAGCACATAAGGAAATGACTGCACAGTTTGGAAGCAGATACACTTAGCTGAAACAACAGCTCTAGCTAGGAGGCCTTAACAATTCCAGAGAAAAGCTAGAAAGCTCAGCTAGAAAGCTGGGGGTGGGGGGGGCGCGGGGAGTTCCCGAGCACAGGAAGCTATAACCAGTGAGTGAAACTTGGGATACTTTTATGTCTTTTTAGTGGAGTGTCCTTCCTGGAGCCAGCTTTTTTTTTTTTTTTTAAGATTTTTAAAAATTTATTTATTTGACAGAGTGGCGAGGATGAGCAAGGGGAGCAGCAGAGGGAGAGGAAGAAGCAGACTCCCATCTGGGCAAGGAGCCCGAGGCAGGGCTCAATCCCAGGACCCCCGGGATCAGGACCCCCGGGATCATGACCCAAGCAGAAGGCAGTTGCTTAACTGATTGAGCCACCCAGTGCAGTGAGTTATTTTGAAGCTTTTTC